GCATTATTTTAAAATAGTATTTCTTAGACCAAAACCTCCAGTTATTATTTAAATTACATTCCCACTATAATTAAATTAGCAAAGATGAAATTAAATCAAATGGAGAGGCCAGACCTCGAGCCAGACACTAAATGTCAGAATCACATACCACCATCCAGGCCGGAAAGCCACAGGCTGAGGGTCTCTAAGGAAGGCAGTGGCCATCTTCCTGGAGGTTCAGGAAGACACCAGTTCCCCACTGTCCAAGAGTCACCAAAGGCTTTGGGGAGCCTGTGCGGTGGCCAGAGTAGACAAGCGCGTGCTCCTTCCCTGCAGAACTCATAAGAGCAAGTAGCCGAAGAGGACAGGGCAGGCCACCCCCAGCAGGGCTCCACATCTCTGGGCAAGCTGTGCCTCCTCTGCACCCACCCTCTCCAAGTTCCCCATCTTCCTCAATCGGGAGTGAGAATGGACATTCCGCTGGAGAATCACAGAGACCATCAACCTAGCATCGGGACTGAGAACGGACATTCCGCTGGAGAATCACAGAGACCATCAACCTAGCATCGGGAGTGAGAATGGACATTCCGCTGGAGAATCACAGAGACCATCAACCTAGCATCGGGAGTGAGAACGGACATTCCGCTGGAGAGTCACAGAAACCATCAACTTAGCTGAAGAACCAGTGTGTGTGTGCCTGCCTGCTGATGCACGAGCATGAGTCTTTCCGTGTGAGACCACTCAGAGAAAACCGTGCAGAGGAAGGAATGCTTGACCCGGAAGAGCTCAGGGGCTACTGCTGATGGAATGTGGAGCTACTCTGGGAGTCTCCAACTTCCGGGTAAAGGCTTGAACACACAAGAATGAAGGATGTATTCAGGAAGACAGACAATGCTGGGGGTGGGGGGGCAGGTGCTGTCTGGAGGACTTTTAATGTTAAAAAAATAAAATTAAACAGGAGAAGAGTCAGGAGGTAGGATGAGTTAATTAGTAATGGAACGTGCTAGCCCTCAGCATTCCTGCTCCAATAACTGCCAGGGCCAGAGAGCTTCATATTCTACCCAGGCCTACTTTATTCAAAACCAACTTCCATTCTTCAAGGTCTGTGTTACCCTAACTGATTTAGAGATCTGTACGGTCTGCAACGGTACCTTAGCAATCAGGGTCAACAACAGGAAATGCAAACTCCTGCTATGAAATATGACCGTTTTCATTCATCAGCCAGAAAAATCCTATGTATGTCTCAAACATTGGTACACAAACAAAAACTACTTGTTAATTAGCTTTACAAACAAAAACAACAACAAAACCCACCACTCTCAATTACAATTAGGTCGACCAAGTCTAGACGTTAACCAACACAAAGTATTTGCCAAGCGAATGGCAAGCATTAAGCAATGCCTAATTTCCTCCATAATTTTAGCATCACCAATTATCTTTATTTCCAGCATTACTGTTTTATTATTCCTTGAGGATGAAACAATAAATCAAATAGCATTCGGGTTCAAGCACGGAGGGAGCAGCTGAGTAGTAGATCCTTAGGAACTAAGGGTGCCCCTCGGAGGGTGGCACAGAACTGGCAAACGAAGGGAACAGTGGCCCTACCACTGGAAGAGGTCTTCTTCCTCTGAACTCCAGCCGCTTCAGAGGAATCACCATGGGCTTCTTAGAAGGACAGAGATTTCTGGGAATTTCTACAGCTTCCACAGAGCTGACTCGCTCCTTCAGTGGACGGCTGGACGGCTACCCATTTGCAGAACAGATTTAGTCAAGACAATGTAAATAAATTCATTGACTTTATCAACTGTCCTTCAAGCATATTCTTATTCTTAAATAGTATAGAATATTGCTTTGAAGTTTCACGTTATTACAAGCGTGAAATGAATACAAAACGTTGTGTTAGTCTGGATTTCCCAATACAAACACAACACCCTCCCCCCCTTTACCCTCCCCCACAGGGCTCCCCAATAGTTTTCGTAAGCATTTAGCGTGGATTTACCAGTTCCAAACCCTCCATTCCACTCTCCAGTGGGTTTTAAGAGCCTAGGGCAGGCTATTTACAACACAGCATTTAAAATAACAAGGCATTTTATTGTAAGCGTGTTCCCCCGCCCACCACTGAAAGTCCCTCCCACCAAAGCTCTGATTTGCTAAGGAGAGAAATACCGACAGCTCCAATTTACACTTAAGACTATTCCAACTAGATGGAGAGGCTGAAGAATAACTCTCGGTTCAGAACGTATGCGATTCTGTAACTCTGTTCTAATAATTCTGCACAGCAGCCTCTGTTGGTCCCATACGAAGCTGACACTTGGAAATGTGGTAAAAGCTAAGCAATTTCAAAGGAGCCACGGTGGATTCGTTCAACAGTCTTCTCTATACCCGGATAACGAGACAAAATTTTACGAGAGGCTGAATACTGTAATGTCTCGTTAATTATAGTTAAGTTAAAACAGGCTTTCTAAGCAGAGTCTGCATTCCTGTACTGGAAGATTTTTGTTAATGCCTTATTACAACAGTTGCCAAGGGGAAGGGGGGGGTAGAATCATAAAAAGTAGCCGAGTCTCCGGATTTAGCACTCAAAACTGGTGAGCATCATTTACAGACCTAACCTAGGGTTAAACGAAAACTACGGCGCAAGATTTGGTACAAACCCCCTAATAACCAGCCACAGTACGGACACGCAGGAAAAGTTTAAAGAAGTAAAAGTCCTCCCCTTAAACTTTTTGTCAACAAAATCTGCACGTCCAGTTCTCTCCCGTTCCCTCCTCACAGGCGTGTTTTCCCTCGGCGGCTTCGAGCACCAGGCTGGCAGCCGAGGTCGCCCCGGGTGAGACCCGGGCCCCCGCAGGAGGCTCCTGTGTGGGTGACCTGGGCTGGGGACCAGCGCTGCGAACTCAGGCCCCAGCGTCGCGGCGGGGAGGAAGGAGCAGCGGAGGCCGGCCGGGGAGAAGTCGGCTCCAGAGAGAGAGGCGTTACGCAACGGCCCCGCACGGACCGCCGGACGGCGCGGCCGGGG